ACACATAACTGTAGCTTTTCAGAAGGGACCTTGGAGATCAGCTATGTTACAGGATCACAACATTTAGCAAGTGTGCCACCTCTCTCTGTCCAGGTGCTCATTGCAGACATAACTAATCAATCACACTTTCTTTTCTACTCAACTAGGGTCTAGCCTCAAAGTCTTTCTCCTTTCAGCACCCCAGGAAGCATAGGCACATTATTCCTGATCCAGTTCAACCCCCTCATGACGGAACAATTTGTCTAGAGTCACCAAGTTCTTAAGCAATAAACCCAAGTTCCTCACCTATGGTGCCATAATAGCCATGGCAGCGATTGGGGCTTTATCCATAGGAATAGCAGGGCAAGTGGCTGAGGCAGGGATGAGTACACAGGACCGAGTAGATCTGGGTGATGCATATACTGAGTCCTGTAGACTCACCCATATGCAAACCTGTGCTCCAAACACTCAACGACCTTGGAGTCTCCAAATACAGGAGTCAGCAAATTATGACCCACTCACTCAACCCAGACTGCAGCCTATTTTTATAAAGCTTTATTGCCGCACAGTCATGCTCATTCATTTACATACTGTCAATGGCTCATTACACTGTACAAGAAACAAAATATGGTCTGCAAAGTTGACCCTTTACAGAAGAATGTGCTAACCTTGCCCTAATATCTTTCCAACAAATTCTCATTTTGCTTAAGTCGGCCAGAGTGGCTCACCACCAAGAACCATAACTGATTCAACAGGTAACACAGTGGCTTAATTTTTCCCTGAGTAAGGGTTTCCCTCAATTACTTAGTAAGGATTTATAAATTTATCCTGAAAGTTTATTTTTAAGGATAAATGAGGGGCAGATCCAAAACCTGTACAATTGGTGCAGGAGTCCCTCCTTAAGAAAAATATAAAATACCAACACAGAGTCAGTACAGCACCACGAGCACATTGTCAGGTCTCTCCCAGGCCGGGGAGGGGCCAGGAATGTGAGGCCCTATATTCACTTCACGGCATCTGTTCTCCAAGTCATTCTCCAACTACAGCAGGAGTCATTCTAAAATGAAAATCTGACCTGCTGTGCACCTTAAAGTCTTGCACTGCTTTTTAGATAAGGGGGGAAAGTCTTAACTTGACCTCTAGGTTCTCACCTCTACCTCTTCATCCTTATAAATGAAAATGTCTTAGAAATAGAAAGTGGTGTTGGTTGCATGTCACAAGTGTCACTCATTTTATTGAATTGTACACTTAAAAATCACCAATATTCATGGTGTGGCTCAGTGGTTGAGCGTCAAACTATGAACCAGGGGGTCACGGTTCGATTCCCAATCCCAGGTTGAGGGCTGTGGGGCGTACAGGAGGCAGCCAATCAATGATTCTCTTTCATCATTGATTTTTTATCTCTCTCGCCCTCTCCCTTCCTCTCTGAAATCAATAAAAAATATATTTTTAAAAATTGTTAACATGGAAAATTTTATGTTAAAAAACTTTAAAAAAAATTTTTTTAATTTTAAAGTTAAAAAACTTTATCACAGTTTTTTAAAATTAATAATATCATACAAAAAAAACAATGAATTATTAACCAGGTGGAGGAAGTTAACATCATGTGGATTTCACGTATTCTCTGATATGATGTGATTAAATAATATGATGTAATGTGATTCATCTTTGGGGTGTTCTTTCCAAACAGGTATTTTTAAAGCTTATTGAGATGCCATACAATGTACCCATTTATGGTGGACAATTCATTGTTTTTTGACATGTGAGAATGTTGTGGCAAATGGCCCAGAGAACGACAGCCGGCCCCCAGAGGAATCGGGAAAGTAAACCTTTATTAGGCAGCGCTGCTAGTCCGGGGGACTTTGATCCAAAGCCTGAACTGCCAATGAGGGAGGGGGAGGGCGTTAATATATATAATCTTCTTGTGGCGGGCCCCTGGGGGTGGGCTTTGCAGCTCCGCCCAGGTCAGTTAGAATGGGGAAGTAAGATTACTGTTTAACTAGCTACTGAACTAGGCTGTAAGCCCCCAACATTGCCCCCCTATTTTCCTTCTCAACGTTATTAATTTTTTTTAATCCATGATCTCAGTCTAATCATGAGAAAAACATCAGACAACCAGATTGGTTGACATCTAATAGTACCTGGCCAGCCCTCCACAAGACTGTCAAGGTCATGAAAAATAAGGAAAGCTTATGAGAAATTAACCCAAAATGAAGGGGACAGGGAGATGTGACAATCCAACCCAATGCGGTACCCAAGACTGGAGCATGGAACAGAAAGAGGGCAATGATAGAAAAACTGGTAAAGGCTAAAAATTTAGTTTTTAAAAAATAACTACCTGGGATGCTTTCTTCCCAAGATTCCATAGCCCCATTCTAACAATGAGGAAACATCAAACAAACCTGGATTAACAATGAGGAAACATCAAACAAACCTGTAATAATTCATTGGTTTTTTTGTATTACAGGAACACTGTAATAGGGGACCAGTACTCTTTAAAACTGTCAAGGTCATGAGATACAAAGACAAAACAGAGAAACTGTCATAGATTAGAGGAGACAAAAAAAAAAATTACTGCCCTAGCCAGTTTGGCTCAGTGTATATAGAGCATCAGCCTGCGGATTGAAAGGTCCCGGGTTCGATTCCCACCAAGGGCACATGCTCGGGTTGCGAGCTCAGTCCCCAGTAGGGGCATGCGGGAGGCAGCCGATCAATGATTTCCTCTCATCATTGATATTTCTATCTCTCTTCCTCTCCCTTGCTCTCTGAAATTAATAAAAATATATTTTTTAAAAACATTACTAAATGCAACATGGTATCCTGCGCTGGATCCTGGAACAGAAAAGGGACATTTGTGGGTAAATTGATGAACTCTGAATTTGAGAGTTTAGTTAAGTAGTTCTGTGTCAATGTGAGTTTTAATATACTAATATGTACCTGGTTAAGTAAGATGTTAACACTAAAGGAATAGAGCAGGAACTTTCTGTATTGTTATTACAACTTTTCTGTAAATCTAAAAGTATTACAAAATAAAGTTTATTTAAAACAAAGAAATATAGTAACTGGGTAGTCTTTGTTTCCCTGACTTAACCCTGAGTGCTACAGGTGTAATCACCATTGGCTTTAAAATAAAGGAAGTAGACCTATACAGTAGTATCTAATCTATGTAAATGAGTGTCAGGTTTAATCCGTTGCTATTAGAATACAATGTAATTTCTCAGGCGAGATAAAAGATTGGCAAATCAATGCTAAATCATTTTAGCATTTCAACATTTTCCCAATGTTATTGAAATATACTTGACACGCAGCATTGTGGAAGTTTAAGGTGTACAGCATAATAATTTGACTTACGTATATTGTGAAATAATTACCACAGTAAGTTTATCTAACATCTATAATCTCATATACATACCAAAAAAAAAGAGGTATTTTTCTTGTATGAGAATTCTTAGGATCCACTCTCTTAGCAATATCCCATACAGCACTGTTTACTATATCACCATGCTATACATTACAGCCTAGAACTTATTTATCGTATAACTGAAAGTGTGTACCTTTCAACTACCTCCCTCCAATTCTCCCACACCCAACTCCACCCGTGGTAACCACAAAGCTGATCTCATTGAGTTTGGGGCAGGGTGTTGTTTTTGTTTTTATTTTGTTTTGTGTGCTTTGTTTTAGATTTCACATATAAGTGAGATCGTGTTAAGTTTTGATATGAGACTTAACTTGAGAAGGGAGATTCTTCCCCTGGTGCTGTGTCCAGACGAAGATTCATTCAGCCACTCTACACGATCCTGGGCGGGTTTAACTCTTTAAGGCAACACACCTATTCCTTTGGGCAGGTTGA